CTGGTGGGGAAATACTCCAATTCCCATCATGGTGGGGGGCTGATAGGGGGCTGAGCATCTCGGGGAAGGCAGGATGCGGCCGGGGTGCAGTGGGGGGCGGGGGGGGGGGGGTCCCCAGGAAGAGCAGATGGAGACTGAAGCAACATCAACCCCACAGGGAAGAGGCTTTGCCGGGGTAAGGGATGCAGTGGGGCGCATCCTGCCTGCGCCTGGGGACCGCTTCACCCTGCTGAGATGGTGCATTACCCCCAGCTCCCCCGCTCATCCCAGCGGGAATTTCCCCCCGCTGGGATAATACCGCTGCTGTAACAGTGTGAGAGAAAAAAAAATAATAATCCCCTTGCCAACGGTCGGGCTGCGTCTCCTTGCGGTGCTGGGCCTGTTGAGGTCACCAATCCAGCCCATGGCTTCGGTAGCTGGGAAAATGCCGGGAGCATCATTTTGGGATGGGGAACGAAGGTCTGTGCGAGGGTTGGGGAAACTGAGGCAGGGTAAGGGTGGGGTCAGGCACTCCGCACCCCAAAGGCCCATCCTCCAGTGCGGACTCTTCAGTCCATAATTACGACAAATTAATTCAGCGGTGAAAGCATTAATAAACGTCAGGCTGTAACAAAAAGGGGAGGTCTCAGCCCTCGTCCCTGAGGACCCCCACATCAATGTTTTTGGGGGGAGGCAGATTTCCTGAGTGGGGGGGGATTTGACCCGTCAGCGTAATATTTGGCTCTAGACAGTTTCCTCCTTGCTTGGGTGGAAAGCCCGGTATCAGCTTGGTGGGTGAGTGGGGAAACTGAGGCACGGCTCTGCTCTCAAGCACTGAGCAGAATCTGCCCAGGATCCCTCCCCATAGCTCCCTGAGGAGCACCGGGGAGATGGTGGCCTCCATCCGTGGTGAGGCTTTCTCCTGTGGTTGTAGAGTGGCTTCATGGCATCCGTGTCCCCCCCGGGGGCAGTGGGGGACACACAGCGCGGTGTGACATGGGCTCATCCCATGAGGAGATGGGGGATATGGGGGGTTGGTGACTCCAGCAGCCCCCGTAGCGGCAGCAGGTTAGGGGAACCTGGTCCCAACATGCTGTCGTGGCCCTGTGGGACATCTCCGCACCCAGGGCTGTTGGGGTGTCCAAGCATCTGGGACCTTTGGAAGGTCTTTGTCCACAGGGGCTTTGGGACATCTGTGCATTCGGGGTGTCCCATGGCTGTTGGGGTGTTGCCATTAATGGGACACTTAGAGTGTCTCTGTGCCCAGGTCCATTGGAGCATCTCCACACCCAAGGCCTTTGGGGCATCTCTGCACCCGTGGCCTTGGGGATGTCCAAGCCTCCATGACTTTTGGGATGTGTAAGCATCCAGGGCCTTTGGGTTGTCTCAAACCCAAAACATTTGGGGTAGCTCTGCACCCAGGGCCCTTGGATGGTCTGCATGAACAGGACCACTGTGGTGTCTCCATACCCAGCACCTTGGAGCATCTCCTTTTCCAGGGCCAGCGGAGGGTCTCTACACCCCAGACTTTTGGGATGTCTCACAGCCAGGGCCTTTGGAGCATCTCTGCACCCAAAACTTTTGGCGTGTCTCACATCCAGGGTCTCTGGAGAGTCTACGCCTGCAAAATTTTTGGGATATCTGTACCCTCAGGGCACTTGGAGCTTCTCTTCACCGAAATCTTTTGGGTATCTCTGCACCCACTGTCTCTGGAGCACCTCCATATGCAAAACTTTCGAGTTATCTCACACCCAGGGTCTCTGGACCATCTCATTCCCCAAAACCTTTGGGGTGTCTGGAGTGTATCCACACAAAACTTTTGGGGTCTCTGGAGCATCTCTTTCCCCGAAACCTTTGGGGTGTCTGGAGTGTATCCACACAGAAAACATTTGGGGTCTCTGGAGCATCTCTGCACCCAAAACTTCTTGGGGCATCCCTGCACCCAGGGCCTTTGGAGCACCTCTGCACCCAAAACATTTGGGGTATCACTGTACCCAGCACCTTTGTAGTACCTCTACACCCAAAACTTGGGGTGTCTCTGCACCCAGGGCCTTTGGAGCATCTCTGCACCCAAAACTTTTGGCGTGTCTCACATCCAGGGTCTCTGGAGAGTCTACGCCTGCAAAATTTTTGGGATATCTGTACCCTCAGGGCACTTGGAGCTTCTCTTCACCGAAATCTTTTGGGTATCTCTGCACCCACTGTCTCTGGAGCACCTCCATATGCAAAACTTTCGAGGTAGTCTACCCCCAGGGTCTCTGGACCATCTCATTCCCCAAAACCTTTGGGGTGTCTGGAGTGTATCCACACAGAAAACATTTGGGGTCTCTGGAGCATCTCTGCACCCAAAACTTCTTGGGGCGTCCCTGCACCCAGGGCCTTTGGAGCACCTCTGCACCCAAAACATTTGGGGTATCACTGTACCCAGCACCTTTGTAGTACCTCTACACCCAAAACTTTTGGGGTGTCTCTGCACCCAGGGCCCTTGGAACATCTCTGCACCCAAAACATTTGGGGTGTCTCACACCCTGGGCTCTGGAGCACCTCTGCACCCAAAATCTTTGGGGTGTCTCTGCACCCAGGGCCTTTGGAACATCTCTGCACCCCAAACTTTTGGGGGGTCTCACACCCTGGTCTCTGGAGCATCGCACCCCCAGGCTGAGCTGCAGGGGTGTCCCTCCAAGGTGCTGTGTGCGAGGGGGGTCTCTGAGCCCCACAACCCCGAAGACCCCGACCCATCTACTTCCCAAGGCTGGCGGACCATCCCTTCACCACCACCTCCCCGGTGCTCCCCACCACCCCATTAAACCCCCTCCTGCGGGGCCACAGCCCAGCGCTGGGGTGCCTGGGGTGCCGGGCGGGAGGCGAATTCCTACGGGACCGCTCGGAGCGAAGCCGTTGGAGAGACGGAGGGCGCCGGGACCGACCCATGTAGGGCTGTGAGAGCCAGGGCGGGCTCCTGACGCGGCCGCGGAGGAAACCAGGCGTCTCTGTGCGCTCCGTGTCATGTACTTCCTAATCCTCCCGGATTCCTCCATCGGGGTGGAGAGGGAGCGGAGGGGAGCTGGGAGCCAGCCGGGCTCCTCCGGCGTTCAGCCTCCCCGCCGAGCCCCCGTGCCGGCGCTGACATCCTCCACGGAGCTCCCCTCCATCGTGTCACCCCAAAATTCATCTTGTCTTTCTTTCCACCCCGGGCAGGACATGAGGAAACACGTCATCATGACGCTGCTGGACACGGAGCAGTCCTACGTGGAGTCCTTGCGCACCTTGATGCAGGTAACACAGCACGGCCGGCAACGTGGCACCCCAAGCCACGTCACGGCATGATTGTCCCTTGCTTGTCACCGTCCCCGGGACCCCAAGTGGGACCCCCAGCTGTAGGTGCTCTACCAGCACTGATGTGACGTGGGGATGGATTGGCGACGGGTGGCAGTGGGGATGTTGGGGACAGCAGGACCGGAGGTGGGAGCAGCATGGCAGTAGTGTCAAGAAGGGGGTGTGGGGGTCACCTCTGTACCCCAAATCAAGCCTGTAACATTCCCGGTGGGTTGTCACCTGGCAGGTATCGTGTCCCCATACCCCTTCCCATGCTT